CTCGCACACAGGTGTACGTGATCCCCGGTTGCACGCATATGCACACAGCTTGGATATCGCGGCCCAGGTACATATGCGGACGAGGAGTACATAATAAACGTGGGTGTGGAGGTAACATCCGCGTAAGCGGCGCAGGTAGTCTTTGCCGCTACGTGGAATGGATTCTCGAAGACGCGATCGCGGCGCAAGAAGGACGGGACGCGCCGCGACGAAAGATACGTTTTTCCGAGGACACAAAGCGGGGATCTGTAATGTCGCTCGAGCTACACGATACGACTATTAAGACCCCGGTCTGCTTTCCTTTGGGAGAGGTATTAATGTCACGTCGCCGGGTCTTTCAACGTATTTGGCGTAGCGGGGCCGTTGAGCCGCTTTCTTCGCCGCGCTGCTATTTAGACGAATCGTAATTCTCTCCGGTTTTTGCGGACATCGAGAGATCTGTCTGAGATCGGCAAGTGCTCGAACCGACGGAGACTCGTGCTTCGATCTTGGTAGGTTTCGAAAAATACTTCCCTCCAAAGTGTGTTTTCCTCTCATCGTTCAAACTCGTCTCTCTCTCTCTTTCTCTGTCAAGACAAAAAGACGAGAAAACCGAGCAGTTTTCCAACGATTATCGGAAAACATGGGGCTGCCAGTCGGAGAGAAAGGCGGTACCCAGCGCGTCGGATGGTAATTTATCGCGGGGAGGTGGAAGGAGAGCCGAGTTTCTTTAAATAGGCATCCGGGCGATCGCGGCGAAAACTTGGACGGCGAAGTTGGCCCGCGCGAAAGTTCGCTCGTCGAACGAAACTCCGCCGCGTGAAATAGGGGCGGTTTTCAAAGTCGTCGACTTTCACCGTCGCCAATTATCCCGGGCACTTTCGATTTTTCCGACGGTTCGTAAACTCGCCGGGCCGCTTAATTTGAATAAATTTCTAAGCGAGCAAGCCGATGTCCTCCTCACCCCTTTCGCTCGTCCTACTTCCGCCAGCCGCTCCTCCTCCCCCTCTTTGCCCCTTTGCACGG